CACATTATGGAGAAAATAATTTATACTACAGTATTTGAGATAATGTATAGATGATTCTATACCACTTGAGTGAAAGGTTGCAAACAGCAGAATGTATAACAATATGAGGCTTTCACCCTGAAACCAACATCAGTGACCAAAACATGAAACTTGACTTTAATATTCTTATTCTCCACAGTATAAGCTTTAAAATGATAGGTCATTTACTGAAATTGATTTACTATTGCCAAAGTTATGAGTAAAATGTATTACGGCTTCTCTATACTAAAGTATACAATAGTGCCACATTCTTATGCTGATTACTCATTTCAACATATAGCGACTGTATGCTGGTTTTTGGATGGCAAGCATCATATACACTACCTGTGTCTCGGTGTGGTAACCATATATGAATCATGTGATTCATATATGGTTACCATATATATGTATCAGCTATTCAACTTTCATTGCATGTAATAATGCATGTTTCATAGATGTTGTATCATCCTCTGCTCTATGCTAATTCATATGGTTTGTTTTACAGGATCACATACCCTGGTTGCTACAGGAACATTATTAGGAGCCAATCCTAACAGGGTTGTTGTGAAGAAAGTTGTCCTCAGCGGCCATCCGTTCAAGATCATGAAAAGACAAGCAGTGGTCCGCTACATGTTCTTTAATAGAGGTGAGCTGGAGTGAAGTAATGAATACTATTATGGAAGCATGTGGCACAGGGGTTGAGGATTTTGTGCTTTCAACCGAGTAGTTCTGGCTTCGAATCCAATGTTGGTCATAATTTTTGTGTTCTTCATTTACGTTTGTCTCTCTCTACACAGGATTAAATAAATGGGTACCTGGTTAGATGTGAGTGATTTTGAATGAAAATATTATATGTACAGCTTGAAGAGCTAGCACATTGTAGGTATACAGTAATAATTTTGGTAACATGATTTTAATAACTTTTATTTACTCTTTTAGAGGATATTATGTGGTTTAAGCCGATTGAACTTAAGACAAAGTGGGGTCGACGAGGTCATATTAAGGAACCTTTAGGTGAGTAGCTATATATATAGAATGATGATTTATACCATGTTGAGTAAGTGACAATAAAGTGTATTGATAATGTATATAAATTTTGTTATCTTGTTACCTTTATGGAGCGTGCTTTCATTAACCACTAATGATTAAGGAAATGAGGTACTGTATTATTATAATACGAGTTAAGCTATACCAAAACTAGCGTACCTTCGCTATATATTAAATGGAGTAATTGGCATAAGAATGTGGCAATATTGTATACTTTAGTACAGAAAAGTTATAATACTTTTACTCAATTATTTGGCAATAGTTTGTTCCAGTAAATGACACATCATTTTAAAGCTTACAATGTGAAGAATAAGAATATATTAAAGTCAATTTTCATCTTGTGGTCACTGATGCTGTTTTTAGGATGGCAAGCCTTATATTGGGGTTTATCATGCTTCTAATTCTGATCAGGACAATACGCTGTCATTAAAAATTCATTATTGTTTATAATTATTACCAGTGGAGGTTTCTCTATACCAGAATTACTAACATGTGATATATTATCATTAATTATTATTAATTGTATATTTTCTTGCATTACCTAGCCTACTAGAAATAATCATATTCTGGATGATTCTTGCAGGAACACATGGCCATATGAAATGCATTTTTGACGGTCAGTTGAAGTCACAGGATACAGTCCTAATGACACTTTACAAACGCATATACCCCAAATGGACGTATGACATTGAGGGCAGTGCTAATGTCCAGGTCACTCCCGAAACTGTAGTGAGTTGCACGTATGTTGAAGATATGGAGTGATGCAGGTGACAGCGTATGGTGTATTCCTTAAGGTTGACATTGTCTTTGCAAATCATATTTGTAGGGGATGTTGGATTGCATGCGATTGATTTTCTTCACTGGATTCTTTGTGTCTATGAGAACCCACATAGATTTTCACCATATATGATTATTTTATTCATAAATGAATTGGTTCATATATGTATTTTCATATATGTTATGCATACATGGATGATAATTTCATTTGAATGATTTATTATAAAATTAATGATTATATTCATTATGATGTTTTTGTGTCTACTGGTTTTCCACCAATCAGCAGGAAGTCTTAGTGATCATCTCACTTGTAAGTTGTGAGAGTAAATCCGATTGGAGGAACAATGAGATGATCCAAAATATAATGCCATGCCCTGACCTAGAAGGAACTGAAAAGTCAATCTGTTACACTCAGTACGGTACTTGTACAGGTTTATTCATGTAAATTCCCAACACAGAGAGCATGGATGGGTTATGAGTTAACAGTAACCAAAAAAAACTTAAAACAAGCAGTAGACACGCTCACTCTGGGAGCCGATTTTTCATAACGGTTATTTTATTCAAATTCAAAAGAATTTTGTTCATGTGAAAATTAGTATGTTTAAAATTAATAAAGATTGAAACAGAACTAATTCTGTTTTATTGAAGTTAATGTAAAGATACTCATCTTTTCCGTGTATAGATGATTTTAAACTTGCATGGTGGATCTTTCTTGTCCATAGCATTTTGTTTTTTTATATGAAAGGTTGTGTTCATATATGGAGGATTTCATTCAGATATAGAAGATTTGCTCTAGTCGAGATCCTGTCTGTGTTGAAGCTGAAGGTGTCTGCTAACCATAATATTTTTACAATTCATTGGAATTCATGTGACAGTTTCTATTAATATACTGTATGAGACCTTGACTGTACTGTATATGGGATCCAACATAGATTTCTATCATATATGTTGGGTATTTCATTCATATGTGGACCTTTTTTCGACTAACAATGAGTTCACATTTGTGGCGGACTTCAAGATTTAAGATTTATTGGTCAAAAACAAAAGTAATAATATAAACATGATTCGAAATGTTGGTTGATTACACAACATTTATAATATTACATTGTCTAAAATGTGTAATACTAAAATAATAAACATCAACATACACCTATACTGAATTATTCTCCACAAATGTTTTAATTAACAACAAACCAGGAATTGGATTTACAGTTTTTGTTCAGAATGTTTGGAGCCATTTCGTCCCAAATAGTAACAGTTAATCTAAGTTGACTTAACTATTTTACTATTGCTGTGTAGGCCTCTGCCTTCATTGAAATATTTTGCGCTAAATTCATATAAAATTCGATAGGCATGCGCTTACACGCACACGTACTGAAAAACGTGTGGTACAAACCTTGCAAAATTTAACTAGTCCCTGTGTGCGGGTTTTTTCTTAGCGTGAATGAACATTAAATGAGTAGCGAAGTACTGTATTCCTTCTTCGTTGAAGGGTAGCTCCTTTTTACACCACTCAAATGCATCTGTAAGCAACTCTGCATGAAACTGCTCTGGTACATAGCTAAATTGTCCCATCAGAGTTTTCAGGTAGCCTGTGTACAGATGAGAAAATAATCAGAAAATATTTTGCATGGGTAAAAGTAAAAATGCATCCTCTTTAAAGAATTAGAAGTACCATTAAATGGAATTCCTCCAAATGTTTTAAATGTCTATCGATTATCAGTTAATTTTGTAAAGAGGAATATACATTGATAGAAAAAAAAAATATAACATTTTACAAAAGCAGTCTCGTTTACGTCTATGATCAGTGAGTCAATCAAACTTCATGGGTGCGCATAAAGTCAGTGCCGCCATGAAACGTGCGTATTTACAGTGTTCAAGAAAACATATGTTTTACAAGCATGCTTCCACTGGAAGTTACAACAGAGGAATCTTGAGAACCTCTTGGAAATGACGTGATAATGTGATGGATAAACACCTACAGAATTTCGTAAATGTTGATACGTGCTCAGTAGGATGGGTTAGATTCTGCCTGGATGGTGCGTTATATTGTTTCTTTAGTTCCAAAAGATTATGTATTTATAGACACATATGACGGTACTTCAGCAGAAATCAGTGGCGTAGCTGGGGATGCAGGATCTAGGGGAAGGGAACGTCCCCAGCCGATCCCTTCCCATTGAAATTTCGAAGCAAAGGAAAAATCACGATCAAGTAGTTAAAAACCACCTTAGCGCCTCATCACTTACACATCCAGCTCCCACTTCACCTATCCCATCCACCCCTCATCAAGCCCCACCCCCATTCCAAGACTCTAGATACGCTACTGGAAAAAGTTTCGGCCACAGTGAACGCATACTGAAAATAAATGCCTTTAAGCTCATTGTCGTCAGGAAGCGTACGGTAAGTTCTTCAAATGGTTCCTTTATCTCTCCTCGTAGCATTTCGAACCCTTCCTCTTCTAGTAGCCTTGTCCACTCCAACAGATCGAGATCATTGTGCATTCCGTGCTCATAATTCTGGGTATCAAAGAAAAGCCAAAACAAAAATAAATTGTCAATGATTTCAACAACTTAATTATTTTAGCTAAGTGTGAATTTATATGGGATAAACAGGCTTCCAAATTCAAAGGCACATTGTTTTAAACTTTGGAATTAGGCCTACAAGTGAATACGTCAGATTGCTGGTATGGTAGTCTTTATTATTAATTCAATTTCTGGTCTATTATTATTAATGGCAGACAGGCCATGTAGTTATTCCTCCATGGACAGATCTACCAGGTGATAAAGGTATACTTACTGGAGTAATAAGGGAAATAGACTTGGGGTGGAAGCACAATGTTAGAATGAGGTACGTTTCTATCGGGGTCCAGCTCAGGTCCAGCGGAAACAGATTTATGGTCTGAATACTGTCAGCGCATATTGGGACAATTGTATTGTGGAAGGCGTTCTACAAACATATATCCTACCATTACCATTAAACTAAACTGCTTCTTTCAACTAAATTGCTTACTTTGTATCTAATTAGTTGCGTAACTACCGCAGGTTTAGGCGGTTCATTGCACTAGGACACTTCACCCTTATAAAAAAATTTAATAAATCAATGCATACCGGTATATACCGGTAGCTCATAATTACTTGTTCTGCCTGGGATGAAAGGATAAAAAATGTTCAAATCGGTCTTCCCGAACATCAGAACCATGGGTCCCTGCGTTCCTAATGACTGCATTGATTGCTTCGCTCACTGGAAGTATTACTATTATATAATACTATACAAAATACAAAAAAAAAAAAAAAAAAAAAAACCACTCAAATTAGTCTATATCTAATCAAAATCGCTGGTTTTTCCCTGGCTTTTGTCCTTGTACCATCAAAAGGGCCTTTTTTCACTCTAGTTGCATTAGTGTTTCCATCACAACCATGACACTGCCTTGTCATTACCATCATCCGTCATCATTGTCGTCATCATCATAATTATCATTGTCATCATCACCACCGTAATCGTCATCTTATCATCATCATCATCACAGTATCATGATTATTTCATATTTATTCTGGGCATCTAGGTAAACAAACTGTTTCTGCTGTAGGACCTGAGCTGGACCCCGTAGAAACGTACCTCATTCTAACATTGAGCCTCCGCCCCCAAGTTGATTCACTTTATTCTTACGCTCTATTAAATATACCTTTATCACGTGGTAGATCGTCTTAGTACCGGCCTTCCCTTGTTTATTTTTTGGGGCCCAAACCCGAAACCAAATACCAGGATGGGTCACTCAGGTGGATGTAAACCAGTGGCGTAGCTAGAGGTTTGGCGCCCGGGGGCAGAGTAGAAAACTGCGCCCCCACCCCAAATTATAATTATAATACTTTGAAATAAATTGATATTGGTTGTACAGACTTTAAGCATATCCGCGTACCGTACGTCCATCATGCACTGTCTAAATAACATTACTGTATTTAATTAAACCCAAATAAGTATTATTATTCTAGCTCTCATATGCTCTTTCTTACCAGGGGTGTCGCCCGGATTTGCCCGATGGGGGTCCGAGGTCCGACAATGGCGAAGATTTCCTTGACTAGAGCAAATTTGGGCGTGATCGAGCGTCGCTTAAAATCTTCCGAAAGTGGTTGTGTGGGGGGGGGGGGGGGGAAAAAAAAAAAAATAAATTTTGACAATTTATGGGTTTCAAGGGCTTATTTAATTGATTTTAGAGTCTACTAATATGTACAAAAAACATATAATTTTTATAATTTTCTCCCCAAAGAACTATGGTTTTCTCCCCCGACCGGAGTGGGAGGGGGAAGTGGGAGCGCAGCTATCCCCGAAGGTGGTTGCCTGGCGCCACGCCTGTTTGTTACTATTAAAACTGCATTATGATGTTTGGAACATTGTATACAACTTTACCATTATCTTAATTTGTAAGGCTGTTGTATTTATCGCATACAGCTTAGTATTCTTATTCTCTAAATTTATCTTATAGTAGTCTTGTAAGTTGCTGAATTTTTAACATTGTTTAAAGCAAATTTTGTTTGCTTTTGCATCAGCAATAAAGTTAATAACATGATCACAGTTAGTAATATTGTCTGTTTCATCACGCTCAGTACTAAGTAGTGCCAAAGCAGATAGTCTCGCTTTTCCCATCGTGGCTCTGAGATATGGCAGGATGAGCTTTAGTCATGTAGTCATTACAGAAGGATAGAAAAGAAGAGATAACGGTCGAGGACTGAAAAGAAATCGCAATCTATAAGTTTGAAAATAAAAACAAGTACATTAAGATTCATTTTATTACAGTAACTGGAAAATATTCATGCCTGACGACATACATAAATTTTGTCGTGTTTTTCTAAAAAGTGCTTATTTTTAAAATCTCCTCCCATTTCAGCGCCCCCCTTTTTGAATTAGAGCATCTGTATTCATACACCATCCCATATGCACTATTTCACTTGCTAGATGAAGTATTTTTACTCACTTGTAAAATCTTTTTCCATTTCATATGATTTTTCAGATAGAATGGAAGTTCATCCGGTTTGTTTCCTAGCGTCTTCTGCATTGGCCCGTTCACAATAATGAAGCCTCTCCGCCTTCTTTCAAGCAGCTGTGAATATTCCTAATAGCCATCTTTC